CTTCAAAAGGAACAGTTTATCTTTAAATGACCAATCCGTCGGTTTACACATCCTCAGATCAGACTAAACCAGAGTGCAGCTTCTTTTTACATGAAAGCAAAACTTTTTATCACGCAAAAACAGTCTATAAGATGCAAAAAAATACTAAATAAACCCAAAGTTACATGTTATATATTCCAAGTCCAGACATTACTTCTACAAATCTCTAACTGCACATCATCAATTCAAATATTAGCATTAGAGATACTGAATGGTCATCATGTTGTGGAGATGCATTGAGTTTCCAGAAAAAAAAAAAAACTACCACAATGAAACATTTTGCTTGAACTTACGACTAGGTTCTGTTTGATCTGCTTAATCTTCAGCATTTTCAGGTTTAGTATAATACCCATGCCATTATTCTTGTGCTTGCAGTTGTTTGCAATAGTTTGCAAACTAAAGCTGGCAATTAAAGGCTGTTGAAGTTATTTATTGAGTTGTTTGGTGAATCTTAACAGTCAGCCAGCCAGTCAGAGCATTCTTTGCTGATTCCTTCTTTGAGAAGGAGAAGCTTATAGAAACCAAATCTCAAACAAAACGACAACGTGAAATAATTGTGTTTTATTTGAACAATTACCCTCAGACTGCATAAAAAAATCAAATTTAATAGTTTAAAAAATCTGGTAGTTCCAGTGTTAAACTAGTTTATGACTAGCAAGAACCAGCTCATGAGTCATGACCAGCAGGAAGCAGCTCATGGACAGCAAGAACCAGCTTAAACAAGTTAATAACCAGCTAGAACCAGCTCATGACCAGCAAGAATCAGCTTAAACCAGCTCATGACCAGCAAGAATCAGCTTAAACCAGCTTATGACCAGCAAAGCACCAGTTTAATCCAGCTCATGACCAGCAAAGACCATCTTAAACTAAATCATGACCAGAAAGAACCAGCCTAAACCTGCTCATGGCCAGAAAGAACCAGCTTAAACCAGCTCATGACCAGCAAAAAACAACTTAAACCAACTTATGACCAGCAAGAACCAGCTTAAACCCGCTCATGGCCAGCAAGAACCTTCTTTAACTAGTTCATGACCAGCAAAAACAGCTTAAACCAGCTCATGACCAGCAAGAACCAGCTTAAACCTGCTCATGGCCAGCAAGAACCATCTTAAACCAGCTCATGACCAGCAAGAACCATCTTAAACCAGCTCATGACCAGCAAGAACCAGCTTAAATTAGCTCAAGACTAGCAAAAAATAGCTTAAACCAACTCATGACCAGCAAGAACCAGCCTAAACCCGCTTATGGCTAGCAAAAACCATATTAAACCAGCTCACGACCAGCAAGGACCAGCTTAAACCAGCTCATGACCAGCAAAAAATTGCTTAAATCAGCTGATGACCAGCAAGATCGAGCTGATGACCAGCTCAGGAACACCGAGGACCAACTTAAACCACCTCATCATGGCCAGAACCAGCTTAATTCAGCTCATGACCAGCAAAGACGATCTTAAACCCGCTCATGTCCAGCAAAGAAGCAGCTTAAAACAGCTAATCACCAGCAATAACTAGCTTAAACCAGCTCATGAAACCCAAAACCCAGCTTAAACCAGTTTATGAATAGCAAAAACAAGCATAAACTAGTTCATGACAAGCAATAATCCAGCAACAACCAACTTAAACCAGCTAAGGACCAGCAAGAACCAGATTAAATTAGCTCATGACCAGCAAGAACGAGCTTTAACCAGCTCATGACCAGTAAGAACCAGTTCATGACCAGCAATGAAGCAGCTTAAACCAGCTCCTGACCAACAAGAACCAGCCTAAATTATTTTATGACTAGTATGATCTAGCTTAAACCAGTTCATGCCTCAACAAAGAATTAGCTTAAACCAGCTCATGACCAGCAGGAACCAGATTAAACCAGATCATTACCACCAGCAATAACCATATTAAAGAACCAGAACATGACCAGCAAGGACCTAATTAAACCAGTACAAACCAGCTTAAACCAGCAGGCATGTACTAACACCGACCTAACCAGCATATGCAGTTTTTTTCAATAAGAAACTATTTATAAATCCTGATTATTACTGTATTTGCCCTCACCTGTGATGTGATGACCTCAATAGACGCCATGAATCTGTCAGCGATGATGGAGACTCCCAGAAACATGTACATGAGTGATACGAAGTAGATGATGGCACGGACGATCTGCTCCACCAGACCGGGATTGACGGGTTTCCACACCGGCAGGAGGATCCCAGGTTTACACTCTACTGGGTCACTGCAGGGCTTGTTGAGCGCAGCGCCGTCATCCGTCAGGTTACTGTAGGGCTCAGTGGAATATTCCGGAATGATGGAGGGCTGGATGGACGGCTCTTCCCTCTGAGATTCAGGAGAGCAGGACCAGGGCAGAGACAAGAGCAGGACGAGACTCAGAAAGACAGAGGAAAAGCGGGCCATGATCTCACTCCTCTACGGGTTTCAGAGTTCAGAGAAGATATGAAGAAGAAGTGGACCTGAGGAGAAAACACAAGACCAGAAACGTCAAAAAAAGACAAAAATAATCAAAACTACAGGTGTATAGTTAATAATAATAATAATAATATTATTATTAATAATAATAATAATAATAATAATAATAATAATAATAATAATAATAATAATAAATGATAAAAACATAATTGATTTTGATTGTCTTAAGGGGATAGTTATTTTAAAATCTAAAATTCTGTCATCATTTATTTACCGACTCTTTTCTAGTTCAAAATCTACTTTAGTTTCTTTCCTCTGTTGAACACAACTGTTGTATATGACTGAAGGGCTATATTTTGCAAAAAAAATAAAAAATAAAAAAATAAAAAATAAAATCCTGTCCTGGATATACTTGATCCCGCTTATTACACAACTACTTGCCACAAAACATCAGAAATTAGAGACAAAACATTGTTCTGAGCTGCAATAGTTTATTAAGTCTTTAATTAAATGCAAAGCTGACAGAATGAAAACAGCTGATGGAGTATACACTAATCTGTGCATTATTCAGACACAACATGGCGCCAAACAGTCAAGCTGACAGAAACTAAAACAGCTGATGGAGTATACACTAACCTGTGCATTATTCAGTCACAAGATGGCGCCAAACCGTCAAAAACACAAAGCTGACAGAAACGAAAACAGCTGATGGAGTATACACTAACCTGTGCATTATTCAGTCACAAGATGTCGCCAAACAGTCAAGCTGACAGAAACTAAAACAGCTGATGGAGTATACACTAATCTGTGCATTATTCAGTCACAAGATGGCGCCAAACAGTCAAGCTGACAGAAACTAAAACAGCTGATGGAGTATACACTAACCTGCGCTTTATTTAGTCACAAGATGGCGCCAAACAGTCAAAAACACAAAGCTGACAGAAACGAAAACAGCTGATGGAGTATACACTAACCTGCGCATTATTCAGTCACAAGATGGCGCCAAACAGTCAAAAACACAAAGCTGACAGAAACGAAAACAGCTGATGGAGTATACACTAACCTGTGCATTATTCAGTCACAAGATGGCGCCAAACAGTCAAGCTGACAGAAACTAAAACAGCTGATGGAGTATACACTAACCTGCGCATTATTCAGTCACAAGATGGCGCCAAACAGTCAAGCTGACAGAAACTAAAACAGCTGATGGAGTATACACTAACCTGCGCATTATTCAGTCATAAGATGGCGCCAAACAGTCAAAAACACAAAGCTGACAGAAAACAAAAACAGCTGATGGAGTATACACTAACCTGCGCATTACTCAGTCACAAGATAGCGCCAAACAGTCAAAACCGTAAAGCTAACAAAAATGAAAACAGCTGATTGAGTATTCACTAATCTGCACATTTTCAGTCACAAGATGGCGCCAAACAGTCAAAAACACAAAGCTGACAGAAACGAAAACAGCTGATGGAATATACACTAACCTGTGCATTATTCAGACACAAGATGGCACCAGACAGTCAAAATGCAAAGCTAACAAACGAAAACAGCTGATGGAGTATACACTAACCTGCGCAATATTCAGACACGATATGGCGCCAAACAGTCAAAAACGCAAAGCAGACAGAAACAAACCTGGCTGAATAAAGCAATTACTAACCTACATTATATCAAGGTGACTCAAAATTTCAGGATGAGCCCGTGTTATTCATCGGCTGTTATCTAGAAATAACATACCTTGGAATATCACGACTGACCAATTAGAATCAAGTATTCCAGACAGCCGTGTAATAAATACAGTTAAAGTATGTTGTATTCGTTTCGATTACAGTGCATGCTGCACATTATTGAAAATACTGAGCTGAAACTTCAATTCACAAAATAAAAATTCGCAAATCAAACCTCAATATGAGTCAGAAAACTTGAAATTAGGGCGCCACGGCGGCTTGGTGGATAGCAGGTTCGAGTCCCGGCTGGGTTAGTAGGAATTTCTGTGTGGAGTTTGAGTGTTCAAAGTGCTTCTTTTATCCACACTTGTAAGCCACTTTGGATAAATGTAAACATCTGACCCAAAAGTGTATTAAAACAAGCCAGCGTTTTTAACATGTAGTCAGAACTGCATATGAAAATGCGATCATCTCTAAAACAAATCTCACAAAGCTTCGGAAACCATAATAAACCACTCCAGGCTGCAGCTCGGGCTCGCTTTTATAGCCGAGTAAATCAAGTAAGTGATTATGAGGAAATATGCGAGACGCGGAATCTTGGTAGAAGAATAGGCTGCGTAGGTGAAATGCAGTTACAAGGACAAAACCTACGGATGATGATTATGATGGTGCTCAGCAATAGTGCACTGAATAGGGTTGATAACTCAAATGACAATGAAATAAAAGTGGAAACGCTGCCAGGGTGCAGGATTACGGCCTCCGCAGGTCTCAGAGAGGGACATCTGTGCACACGAGGCTTTCATTAGCTCAAATACCCTAAAAGCTTGCTGCACTTTCACACACACATGCATTGCAAACACAAGCCGCAAGCACATAAAACTTTGAATGCAAGAACATACCTTGCAACATCTTGTATTACTCAGATTTTAGACGCACTTTATTTCAAACATGTGCAAATAAAAAATTTGCATGTTCTCCCCGTGTTGGCATGGGTTTCCTCCAGGTGCTCCGGTTTCCCCCCTAGTCCAAACAAATGCGGTACAGGTGAATTGAATAAGCTTAATTTGCCGTAGTGTATGACTGTGTGTGCAAGAGTGTGGGGGTGTTTCCCAGTGTTGGGTTGCAGATGGAAGGGCATCCATTGCGTAAAACATGTGCTAGATAAGTTGGGAGTTTTGGATAAGTCTTGGAAACGAAAATGAATAAATGAAAATAAAATAAAATAGGTCACTTTAGAATATTGGTTCATTAGTTAATGTTAGTTAATGTATTTAGTAACATTAACTAAGTATGAATAACCTTGTAAGTCATTTAATTATCATAGTTCAACATTAACATTCTTAAAATCCAAAGTTGTTGATATTAACATTAATTACAGCACATTAACTACCGTCATTTAACTTAAATGCTACTAAATAACATTAACAAATATTAATAAATACCGTAATAAATGTATTACTAATCCTTTGTTCATGTGAGCAAATGCATTAAATAAAGGATTATCTTGAAGCATTACCATAAAATTAAATTAAATAAAATGTAAAATATATTAAAATTTAAAAACATTAAAATTTAAGAATAAAAATTGTAATTATTAGGCAAAGCAAATAATACAACTCAATACAAAAATATTTTAAAAGGAATAGGAAGAAGCATATGTTATGCAATATATACAGTTAAAGTCAGAATTATTAGCCTTCCTTTGAATTATTCCTATTTTTAAAAATATTTCCCAAATAATGTTATAAGAGCGAGGAAATTTTCAGAGTATGTCTGATAATTTTTTTTCTCCTAGAGAAAGTCTTTTTTGTTTTATTTTGGCTAGAATAAAAGCAGTTTTTATTTTGTTAAAGCCATTTTAAGGTCAAAATTATTAGCCCCTTTAAGCTATGTATATTTTTTTTGATAGTCTACAGAACAAACCATCGTTATACAAGAACTTGCCTATTTACCCTAACCTGCCTACTTAACCTAGTTAAGCCTTGAAATGTCACTTTAAGCTGTATAGAAGTGTTTTGAAAAATATCTAGTCAAATATTATTTACTGTCATCATGATAAAGATAAAATAAATCAGTTATTAGAAATGAATTATTAAAACTATTATGTTTATAAATGTGTTAAAAAAATCTCTCCATGACAGAAATTAGGGGGAAAAAAATAGGGGGGTTAATAATTCTGACTTCAACTGTAATTATATATATTTAAGTAATGCAAATGGAACAAGTAAAATTATTGCTGAGAGATTTGATTTATTATTATTATTATTATTATTATTATTATTATTATTATTACTATTATTATATATTTTTGCATACAAACTGAGCACCATTTAAGATCTCACACATCTTTTTTTCACTTGCAGTTTTTTTAATAAAAAAAATTATATAAATAGTTTGACAAAACTCAAATTAATCGAAGTTTTAACATACTTTTTATGCCCTGTAAAAACTGTGATGACAAAAACAAATCATCACAACAAATTTTTTCATGTTGCTTTAATTTACTTTATTAAGTTAATCAGCGTTCAATCTAATATTTTACATTTATACATTCACAGCAGGAAAGTCACTGGTTTGAGCCTCGGCTCTGGGTCAGTTGCCGTTTCTGTGTGGAGTTTGCATGTTTTCCCCGTGTTGGTGTGGGTTTACTTCAGGTGCTCCGGTTTCCCCCACAGGTACAAAAACATGCGCTGTAGGTGAATTGGGTAGGCTAAATAGGCTGTAGTGTATGAGTGTTTGTGTGTAAATGAGTGTGTATGGATGTTTCCTAGTGATGGGTTGCAGCTGCATAAAACATATGCTAGATAAGTTGGCGGTTCATTCCGCAGTGGTGACCCCTGATTAATAAAGCGACTAAACCGAAAAGAAAAAGAATGATGAATTTTTAATCAGTTTAAATGATGTAAGTTGAGATAAATAGAATTTTTTAATTGATTAAACTAAAAAATTAACGCAGCACGAATGTTTTTAGTGAGTATAATTTTACATTAATATTTCTCCTCATTATACATTTTGACTTACAATGTTTTAACTTATTTATTTAGCATTTATTTTCAGATTTTCTGAATGATATTTCTTCTGTCAGGCGGCACGGTGGCTCAGTGGTTAGCACTGTTGTCTCACAGCAAGAAGGTTGCTGGTTCGAATCCTGGCTGGGCCAGCTGGCATTTTTGTGTGGAGTTTGCATGTTCTCCCTTTGTTGGCGTGGGTTTCCTCCGGGTGCTCCGGTTTCTCCCAAAGCCCAAACACATGCGCTGAAGGTGTTTTGCATAAGCTAAATTGACCGTAGTGTATGAGTGTGTGTGTGAATGTAAGAGTGTACAAGTGTTTCTCAGTACTGGGTAGTGGCTGGAAGGGCATCTATTGTGTAA